CAGTCCATGCATCTGTTTGCTACACCCACGCAACGCCTGGGGGAACAGACCAATAGCAGCGTTTGAGGGGCCATCCAATTGTAATAAGTTGTCGCGCTTCATTCTTATTGGTTGACTGCACAGAGTAGGATAAACACTTACGTCATCCATAGTGAGGGGCGAGGTAAAATGCAAGGAGATGTGGAGCTTCTGAAAGATCCTATGATATTTTGAAACCCAAAATTCTCGCCCACATCCCGGGAACCACTCACATAGAAGATGGTCAACTGAGAGATTATTTTTGTCCGAAACATCGTGCTTTGTAGAACAAATAATATTTCCAGGTTACTAAGTTGAACTCACCGCATTTGTTTGAGTTGTCTCGCGCTCTGGTAGGTAAACTGGAGCATATTTCTCACACAGGTAACAAAATATGTTCTTCAAATGAAACAAAAGAGGAGAAACAGATCAAAAACATATCAGGCGGAGGGGCGAGAAAAATGGTTTGTCTATGTGCCTAGGCCACTCCGCCGGAGTGAGATATTGCCTACTGTCTGGTGGTGATGTGTTAAACGATACATTCACCGGTGAAAAATATATCTTTTCAGATTTGAAGACAGCTCACTGGAAAGAATAAAATCTTTCTTTGTCCTAGTACTGCTGTTGTGAATATACCTATTTATCTGTCTAACAAACTCAAAGAAGTCGGGAGAAACCATCTGACGTAGCACGGGTTTTGATGTCTGGAGCAAAGATGTTTCTTTTGGAGACCTGGCAGCTACCTGCTTGAAGATGACTTCATTTTACCGTAAAGGCAACGCCTGCCAGGGTTTTCTGCGACGTTTTTGTGCAAAAGACCCAGAACCTGTAATATACTTTTGTTTGAAATTCCTCGCAGCACGTTTACCTTAAACTGTATGGTTTATTGGTGGTGCATTGTGGTCTACTCAATCAAATTCAGGACAAATCAAAGTAGTCCACGATAGGTCTGTCACGAAAAACATAGGTCAAGCATTTCGCTCACCAATGTTTTCCCCAGCTACACAGCTTCTGGTTGATCTACTCACTCACTCAGCCTACACTTCAACAGCACAGTTTTGGGTGCCACATCCTCTTTACAATAAGGATGTCGAGATAGATCGGTGGCCCGTCCACTGATCCCAGTAGTTTGGTACCAAAGGGTTCTTTGCCAAGTGAGGTAACATCGGTGGTCAAAGACATCTTCAGGCCTTGTAATTTTGGAAATAGAATAACCGTACTTGAAAAACAGACGCAAACAACAAATGTCCCGAAGAAACCGGTCTGCGTGGATTAAAAGTCGCTCAGCTGGACCACCTTTCCGGTGCCTAGCTGCCATGCTACCCGAAGGAAGCACGAGGGCTGGAATACTGCCACATTGCCCAAGCCCCGTCAGGGGAAGTCGAGAGGCAGAGGTCTGGTTTGAACCACGGACCTTCCGACTAGTAAATTCGAGCTCCAACCACTTGAACTATCTCGCGGGTGACCGGTAAAAAGGGTAGTTACCATATACATGAGTAGTCAAGCTGTCTGAAGGACCAAGCTCCGGTTCGAGCATGCCAAACACACTGGTCACTGTTTGCATCGTGATCCTGAGATCAACCCTGTGTCAGTGATATCCATAGACCACACGTGACGTCAGTCCCAATCACGTGTGCGTTGATGGACAGAACAACCCTATTTTACCCGCCCCGATGGAACTTGCAACCAGATCATCATCATCATCATCATCATCATCATCATCATCATCATCATCATCATCATCATCATCATCATCATCATCATCATCATC